GTAAGGTCATGAGTCTAATGAAGACTGGAAACTCTTCAAGAATGAAAATTTTTTCCACAGAAAATACACTTGTCTTTTAAATACAGAATAGTTAATGGATTCAAAAAATTCATCAAGCGCCACCATCAACTCAATCTCATATACAAACGATATCACTGTGGGAGACAAAACATAACTAATGATAACCTTACCGATGGACCAAACTTCGAACAATAATATCAAACTTTGAGAAGCGTTACGGTACTATTAAGATCCAGAGGCAAGATTATGAAAGTATATCTGTAAGACTGCACAGTGATGATTTACGGTAGGGCCTGATCTCGAAAATTCGGAAAACTTCAGATACTTCAGAAAGTGAAGTTGATATGTGGGCTAAAGGGGCCTTTGAAAAAGCTGTTAGATAAAACAAAGTCTAACGTTCCGCTGGTCATCAGACATTATTTTGAGTAAATTAATATCAAAGTCTACTAGACCATTTTTCAATCAGGTTATTTGTCTCATAAACTGAAACCCAGTTAGGGGCCCAAATGCTAGATTTGAATACGACCTAAGTCACATTCAGTTTTTAATATCGGAACCACTCCTCGAAACAGCATCAGGAGTCAGTATATATATGAGATTTACGGAGTTAGATAGAAAATAGATTCTGAAAATGGATAGTAGAGTAATCTTTTGTAGGTAATATGTCCTTCCACGGAGGAGCAAGACTCACCAAAAGCTTGCTCAAACTTCATGGATTAGGATTTTATGTTCGCACCAACTTCACTCTTGCTAATGTCGTCACCAGTTGCCTGCAGAAATCGAAATAACCAAACGCCGTCAAATCCCAGAAAAATCTAATTCTGAAGGGCTTTTGTATTATCGAGGTTTGGAGTCTAATAATCCTCAAACGATTACTAGTGATGGTCCAAAAATCTATTTAACAGAACTTACCGTTGAGCACATCAACACTCTCTGACCGCCGGAAGAAAAAGCGAGGCTTTTTAATATTATAAGTTCCATAGAACCCGATATCACAGCTCTTTCTGATGTATGGCTGACAATAAAGCTTAGTGACAGTGAGGGCTGTAAATTTTGCACATGATAACAGAACGTGTGAAGTAATGCGATGTAGGCTAAAATGTCAAGATATCGATTTGGTTGTAGTATACCGTAGTCTTGATTTTGAGTCTGATGAACTCCTAACTAGGCTATAATCCCCAGAACACCCTGGTACGGCTGAGGGTGAGGAGAACCAACTCTTCCTCTCAAAATGCTCTCGCATGACTATGCGTATACGGCCACTGCCAGGAAAGTCCTACTCACTACCTTATCGAGGTGGCGGTGTTGTTTACGAGATTGAGGGGACGAAAAGCGAATGTCCGGCGATTTAAACGGGTTAGTGGATATTGAGGATTCATCTAGGGCAGTTGGAAAACGCTGATTCTAAGCCAATGGTGTACATGGGCTCCAGGACCCTAAGGGGACAAATGGAGTGTGAACCTATTGTTAGTCACCGGCTACCATGGGATGGCATCTAACGTTTCTCCACTACCTAGTGGATCAGACTTTTAGGTCAAAGGCTCCCGGTGCGGCCTCCTAAGAAAACCACCTACTTCAATCTTTGCATTCGGGCAGTATCACAGCCCACACACAAATCAAGTGACGTGTGGCGCATATGTATTCGGTGCCCCTTTGTACCAATATTTATTTTTAAATAAATTTAGAAGCCTTGTAGTAGTTGACGTCAATAAACTATCAACTAATTGAGTAAGTTTTGTGACGGAATCATTGACCTTTGATAGTAATTAAACAGACCGTCAGAACCATAAGTCGTGCTGAAAAGCAATGAATTGGATGTGTTTGGTGGTTTACGTGGTCTAATAATTTATGGTGCGTTGCGTTGCCTTCAAACAGTTCGTCCTCGCTATGAGAATGCAGTCATTTCTGATATGTGTGTTCGGGTTCGTAAAGTTTTGCAGCAGTTGACAGTCTTTGATAAAACAACTCTAATCCGAGTATGTGATAAATCTGATTCGGTTCGTGTTGCTACACCTCTCAACGAAGGAAAGAAAAAAAATACTGATATACCAATTAAAGATAATTTTATCTGCAATGGAAATGCAACACAAGGAACGCAGTCGAAAAGGAGCAAGTGAGATTAAAGAAAGGAAAGAAGAAAAATGAAGAATAAATGCAATTGCACTGTTGCGTTAGATTTTGTGTTATGTCAACTGATATCTCTGTTTACGGGTTACGACTATCGCTCATGCTTTAACCAGGTCTGTACATCTCAACATGGCTTAGATTAGAAATCAATGACTTCATGTTTTGGCGCCATGTCACAACTCATCAAGTACTTCTGGATAGTCTGGATGGGTGATTGTGTTAGACCCCCCATTAGTACTGACGTCGAAAAGGCTATAACTGGCTTAAAACAGAATTGTTTAAATCACTGATTATGCCAATCTATAAGAATGAATAGGAATTAGTTCGTGTTTGATATTCTGGCATCGATGATCACCCGGTACTTTACTTTGGCTCGTAAATAACAAAGTCAAGAAGATAAGGTTCGCTTTAGATTTAGATGTGGATGAACTGTTCAAACATCCACTCTCCATCAAGTTTTAGGACGGAAGCGTGCTTATCGACGCCCAAATAAGGTTGCAATTTTTGACCGAAGGGCTGTATTTGACTTCAATCAAACACAAGAATACTGTAATCTTTGACGTGTAAACAAACATACTGAAAGTCGAGGAATTACTGAGAATAAATACTTTTCTTTTTAAGGTTTTGGCATTGTACTGGTGCGTTTCCTCTCTTCACTGTCCTTGAGTAACAGAGTTTTCAAGAACAAGACATACTGTCACGCGTTCAGAATTCTATCCATTTTGTTTTTCTTTTATCTTTTACAACTGTTTTCCTAATTGATCTCACTAAGTATGTGTTGTAAATTCTGTGCTCACATTTTTCTTCTTTTCAGATATCCTGCAGATAGTTGACTGCCACCGCGAAACCACTACTTTTCTACATGTCTCTATTATAACGTTCTTAAAGACCAACATCAAATTTACTAACTACCGAGATTTTCAGTCGTTTTACTTTCAGCCAAATACAACAAAGATCTATGAGGCAGATTGGTGGAAGGTGAGTTAATCACGCTTTACGAAGTCGCGGTGTGCATTTACTTACAATTTTTTTATATTTCAGATCAGTAGTATGTCGGATTTTTATTGAGGGAACAAACCGTGATTCGTTTCGAGAAACTATCAAGATAAATAGATATATCACTTAAATAACTTTTGCAGTTCCTAATTTTTTAACATTTTCTTGAAACAGTACACTGTCATTGAGTTGCTGCTCGCTATCATCCTGTAAATTTTTTATCAGTTTACGTATAGGTTTTTTAAAATAATATCAAGTAGTGTTTGGAAATTTCCTCCGAAATGTAGTGAAGTGAATTAGTTGCTAAAACATTCAACTTTAAATCACTGAGTTACATTTTGAGATAACCGGATAGTATCAATAACGCCTGCGAAAATAGTGTAGATCGAAGTTAGTTGCGAGATCTTATACTTGATTACTGTGTGCGTAATTCTGAGCTCGCCGTAAGGTCACAATTATCTTAAGTATCTTTAATATTTGCTTCTCAGTTTATAATTCTAAAGTTAACACAAAAGGTTAATATGATTTTCAAATATGCTCAATTAATTTATAGCTACTGAAGTGCCTTGACGTAAAACATCCCCAGCACCAGTCTCTAATGTGTCAGAATTTGCTACTAATTTAGCTTGATTTTAAGAAAAACGACAAATATGACAACTGAGCTTTTTAAATGTATTTTATGAATTAAAGATAACTGAACGAAATTGTAAATGGGAATTCCTTTTGATTGCTGGATTTTCTCCCTAATAGGTCTAATGTTTTAAATGAACACGGTGAATCGTCGATAAAGATTAAATGGGTCTCAACTGTAGAGTACAAAAACATGTGGTATATATCTTGGTCTGTCATTCATTATACTATTCTATAATGACTAGATTAACAGTAGTGAAGGCTTAGAGCTCACCACATTAATTTTTAACAGTAACACATGAATTTACTGTATATAGACGAATTAGTGTTTCTTGTTAGGTACTTCATGCCCCCAAATGCCCTGATACGGCCAAGAGTGGGGAGAATCCGCTCTCCCTCTCGAAATGCTCTCACATGGCCACGCGTATATAGCCTCTTCCAGGGAAGTCCTACTCACTGGCTTCTCGTGGCGGAGGTGTTGTTTACGAAAATGAGAGGACGAAAAGCGAATGTCCGGCGCTTTAACCGGATTCCAAACCAATGGTGCACATGGTTTCCATTATCCTGCGGGAACAAATGGCGTATGAACCAATTGTTGGTCACCGGCTACCATGGGATTGCATCTCCTCATGATGCTCCACCGCCTTGTGGATCAGACCTTCAGGTCGAAGGCTCGTGGAGTGGCCCCCGAAGAAAACCACCTGCTTCGGTTTAGGCACCCAGGCACTATCACAGCCCTCACACATATCGAATGAGATTTGTGTGGCGCATATGTATTTGGTGCCTCCTTTACCAATGTTTGTGTTCAAATAAATAAATAAGGTACTTCATAGTAAGGCACTATAGCATATTTATGTATACATGTCTGGGAAACATGCCCTAATCACTTTCCGTAAATTTATAATACATTCATAATGTATGGTCATTCCATTCATGCGTAGTATTTTAGTAACGAATTTCTTTGTTGAATTTATTCTCTAATTTTCCAGATGGTTTCACCATAACTTAACTGGTCTGGAAGCTGAAAAACTGTTGACTTTAAAAGGTGTCAGTGGCAGTTTTCTTGCTCGTCCAAGTCACAGTACCCCAGGAAGCTTCACGCTTTCAGTTCGTCGTGGCGATGAAGTTACACATATTCGCATACAAAATACTGAAGAATTTTTAGATCTATATGGTGGAGAAAAGTTTGCTACTTTGTCAGAATTGGTTACATACTACATGGAGAATGAGGGACAACTCAGAGAAAAAAATGGTGATCTTATTGAGCTGAAATATCCTCTCATTTCGGAAGATCCGACAACTGAGCGGTAAGTGACATAAAACAGTGTAATTTATCACCTATAAATTTAAGTATTAATGGAGCGTCACAAGCACTCGTTTTAAGGTGAGAATTCTCCTTAGCTTTGAATTTCCATTCAGTGAATGAAACGTAAACTGGATCCCATACACGTTGTAATATTAATTTTGCTATTCAGAATGCATGGCCCCCAAATGCCCTGGTACGATCGAGAGTGGAGAGTCCTCTCTCCCTCTCGAAATGCTCTCACGTGGCCACGCGTATGTAGCCTCTGCCAGGGAAGTTTTACTCACTGCCTTCTCGCGTCGTGAGCGTTGTTTACGAAATTGAGAGGGCAAAAAGCAAATGTCCGGCGCTTTAACCGGGTTGGTGGGCACGAAAAGTTCACTTAGGGTAGTTGGAAATCCCTGATTCCAAACCAATGGTGCACATGGGCTCCAGTATCCTGAGTGGACAAATGGCATATGAATCAAGCGTTTGTCACCGGCTATCATGGGACTGCATCTCCTTACGATTCTCCACTGTTTTATGGATCAGACCTGTAGGTTGAAGGCTCCGAGTGTGGCCCCCCAAGGAAACCACGTGCTTCGGCTTGGGCACTCGGGCAGTATCACAGCCCTCACACAAATCAAATGAGATTTGTGTGGCGCATATGTAATTGGTGCCTCACTGTACCAATATCTATGTGTTCAAATAAATAATAATAAAGTCTCTCTAATCGCATTAAAGTACAGATTATTCTCACTATTTTCATGGTGTAATTTCGCCGTATGTGTTTCAGTCAGTTAGCAAGAAATCACTTGTTGAACGAATAGTTCGAGATCGATTCCGAAAATTTTATTGTGAAGGTATTGATGCTGATATCGGACATAAACGTTTGTTGGGCTGCGACTGACCACCTGTACGACTGAGATGTAACGTCTCTGACTGTGAAGCTGAGTGACGCGGGACCGAATCCGCCAGGGAGTGTCATTTGCCTCAACATTACAGGCACATCTTGCTGACGAGTGCCAAATAGCACGAAACCTAGGTCCACGGTTTCCCGTCGATTAACTACAACCACCATCTTACTATGTTTTTAGTTAGCCACATATAAAAAATAAACAATAAATCCCGGTTGATATCACAGAGTGAAACAGTTGGAATAACTGAATCTCACTTCAAAATGAAAGAAACAGACTGAAAAATCATCAAGCAAGCGACTATTTTTAGATGACTGAAGTCCATAGTGTGGTCTCATTTGTGCCCATCTAACTTACGTTAAACTGATTGTGTAGTTTGATTGGTTTCAAAACATTGACGAATGGGAGGTAGCATAAGTAAGAGTGTGGTGAATCAAGCTGGAATAAGTAGATTGACGACTAGTGCGCATCGATACTTCAACGATGACGACGGTAGACGAATAAGAGAGAATACAGAATTTTGCAAGAGCTTTCATATCTCAGATAGAGACATTTAAACAGGTAAGGTCACATCCCAAACAGTATGTCTGATATTCTGGATAAAAATGACTAAAATCCAGATGTAAATGATTGGAAGTGATTAACAAAATTCATATTCCCTGGTCAATTTCGATAGCTGATCATTTAACTTTACTAGATGTAAAGTCATGCTTTTGATTTAGTCTCTGATCAAACTTTAATCAGAGGTTTCGGCCAATAATTTGCTCTAGTGATCAACCATTAAATCTGCCACACTAGTAACGAGAATTCAATATTTTGCACAAACGGAGATGAAAGAACACAAAATAGAAAGTGCTATATTTGCTGATCAAGAGACAGTAATTCGTCAGAAGTTTTGATTGGAACAAATAGGTGTCAAGAGGAAACGAAAAAAATGTAATCAAAAGTAACAAAAAGGAAAGAAAACTAACTAACGACAAAACAGTCGGATAACTTACAGGCCAACAAATATAATTTGCATTGATGTAGTCAGAACCAGGTTCTTCAGGATTACCATCAAGAAGTTTAACTTGAGACCAATCAAATGGAAGGATATGTTTATACCGGTTTTTATCTCGGTTGTAAGACTGATAGCCTTCAACACGTGGATTACTCTTCACCTAAAATATAGAACAAAATTAAAATCACAATCCATGAATCGTAAAACTTTCCAAAACCAAAATCAGCAACCTTGTTTACAAACACGGAGACAAAGGTAATGATTTGTAACTGAAACCAAAAGCCACCACAGGACAGACTGGATACCGAACTTCAACAGACCTACAAATACTTTGTGTAAGATGCAAAGATTGTAAACATCGTCAACGACAAACCAACAAACACAGAGCTATATTCAGTGTTGTAACCTTGATAAATAATCGACTTCAAATAGAAAAACAGAAAAGAAACGTTAATATAATAGTATTCAAGATCGGTTTAGAGCATATTCACTTGGATACTAACAGACGTGACATAAAATATACGTTAGGAATATCTTTTCGAACCACAGAGTAAACATCCAATAACCACGACAACTTTGAAGTTCGTGAGACAAAAATGTAGTGAGTAATGCTCATTAAACGTTCTATTCATTGACACAGTCTGAACCCATAATATGGAAAACCTCTAAGTTAGTTATTGCTTGCAAACGAAAATATGGTGTCCAATGGGTTCCGAGGTTGCGTTTTGTTATTCCATCATCATATATTGTACAACGAGCGTTGTGAAGAATAACTGATCGTGTGTCTTCACGCATTTCACTATTCTCTTTCAGATCAGTGACCACAATAACATCAATTATCTCCAGGATTATCACCTAAAGTGATGCTAAAACGCATCTGACAAATGTCAGTTGCGAATTGAAGTTTAAATACTGAATGTTGAATGGGTTATGTTTTCGTCGAATTTCAGTGGAGTAAGTCTTAGGTAACTAAAGACAACGACTTACTTCCAAGTTACTCTGACCAAAAATCGCAATTTAGTAATATGTTGACCTGGAGTAATTTAACCTATTCCAAACACTATGTGTCCACTTTCGCTATCTCAATTTTAGGAAAATATCTCGACTAATTAATGGCTGTGAATAAGACTTTCTCACTTTAATCGACAAATATGTATTTTTATGAGGGCATTTCGAGGGAGATAACATTTTCATCACTGCACGCACGTGTGTTTGAATCCTTTGTGCAAATAATCTGACTCATACCTTAAATTAGAATTCATTTTGTATATTTTCAAGTGAGCTAAACGTTTTATGAAAGCTGCAAAGGACTGGCTTGTGTTGGTCCTTCTCGACCCCTTGGTTGGGGTCCGAAAGATGGTGCTACACAGTGGCTAGAGACGTTATCAGATATGGTTCAGAATAGAAGCCAGTGGCGATCCTATTGTAACCTTCTTTTACTTTCTTCATAAAAAGTGGTTGTGTCTCCCTTAACTGAAAGATTTCTTCTGATCGTACTTTTCCGTTCTCCCATTATTACTATTATTATTACTACACTACCTTGCACCAATCTCTTCGTTATTGTTTTTTTTACACTCCTTACCTTTTTTCTCTTCGAATTCTCATTGTTTTGTGTGGCGCATATATATTGGCGCTCTCTTGTACCAATATTTATGTGTTCAAGTAAATAAATAAACGTTTTATAACTGTTATGTTTTATTTGCTTTTGGTAGTTCTCTTCTGGTACATGGTAAAACTGACTAGCATTTGCACTTGATATCCTATACCAATCAGAACGAAATATATATAAAGAAACAGTATGACTACTTCTAAACACCTTGCCATCACTCTGCCTAATGGTCTTTAGTTTTCGAATGTTCCCGAAGTCTCTATCATAAGTTTATCAGTTTCACAGCATGGAATGGACTGATCTACATACGTTTTACTCCAGCCAATATATAACTGTAACTAATAGTCCATGGCTTCTCTGTTTTCTAGAATTCGCTTACCTTGGTCTCACATAAATCTGAGAATTCAAGGTCTGCAATTTGACGTAGTAAATCAGATACATGCAATATACCATTCCCAAAATATTTACTTGGTAACAAATATGAAATCATTAAATATTATTTTTATATTTTTATATCAGTAGTTATTGGATAGTTTTTATTTTTTAAAATACCGATTTTTCCACATGGTTGTTTGTTTCTAGGTACAGTGTACAAATATTTTAATAGTTTTACTTTTTTACAGTTGGTTTCATGGAAAAATCACCGGGAAAGAAGCTGAAAAGATGCTATTAGAACGAGGCAAACCTGATTGTTTTCTGGTTCGTGAATCTGTTCACCGACCAGGGTCTTATGTCCTGTCAGTTCTAACAGGTGAACAAGTAGCACATATTATGGTTCATGGGAAGCCGAATGGAATGTATGATGTTGGAGGAGGGCACCAGTTTTCTTCATTAAAGGAATTAATAGACTTCTACACAAATACTCCAATGGTCGAAAAAAATGGAGGCTTAGTGTCACTAAAACAGGTAAATCAAAAGTTGATATATTCCCCTAAAAAATCTATGGCTAGTCAGACGTAATCAGCATGTGGCTTGACACAAATTTACATCAACCTGGTCGCAAAACAACAACTAGAAGAAGTAAAATTGAGAAAATAATTTTTGGAAGGACCTGAGATAATACTGGTCACAATTGTGGTGGACAAGATTAGATATTCGAGAATACAGCTTTAAAATAAGAGATGAATTTCATGAATATATGTGCGGAATTACGTTGAAACTCAAAATCTCGATTAAAGTAATGAATGAGTTCATTTACTCCACTGTAATCGGCTCTCAGTCATATCACCCAACATCTCCAAGCTATGATCTATTATCTCATAGATTCCAAGTAGGAAGTCTACACCTACCAACACATCTTAGTCCAGCATAAATCTTTGTGAATAGGTAGTACATTTCATCGTCTAGAGTTCTTTCACTTCATTCACTGGTTTCTAAACACTACATTGTCTCTGCAAAATTGAAGCAGAATTCACAACTTATCAAGACTATGGATTATCCCATCTGTTTCATACTTTTTTAAAGTGTGGTGAATTGAATATCAAGCCGTTTTAATGTACGGTTCATTCATCTGTGTAAAAGACCGATGGCTTAAATTTCTGGATCTTTTGTCATGATTGTTTTTAACGCTATTCCATATTTGGAATATCGAACTTTAGGGATTGGAGATAAAAATTGAACTTTAAACAGTGAAAACGAGTCATTTAAGCTATGTGTTGCGCACAGAAAGCCATCGTCTAATATGTAGTTCTTTCTGATTACAAACATATAGTGGGGTAGGCCCAACGATAACTAAAGTATGTCAGTCAGCCCACTAGGTCGCTTACTTCTTTTCGGTTGCGTGAGGTATAAATCAGTTCAGTAACTAACAGAACTCTATTGTTGTTCTGTAACAAGGTAAACATTAAACTGTCATTCTTTGTTGTTATATGACTAGAGTTATTTTTTCTCTGCTGCTCATAGGATTAAAGAAACAGTTATAATAAGATTATTAATAGTTGTTTTGTCGTGACACTGTAGAATGAATGTCCCATAAATACCCAGAATTTATCTTATTTATTACTACTTGCCACCTAATACATTTATATGAGCCAGCTATTTTAAAGTTACAGAGAGCTATAGAAAAGTTTATTTCCAGCTATTTATCATAATCCATCGTTCTAATTGACTAGTTTTAAGCTATTATTAAGAGCCACAATATGTTTTTGTTCTTATCATGAAAGCTGCAACTAAATTTATTATGTCTTGATTTCTGGTTTGTTGTATAACTACAATAATTCGCCGGATTTTGAATACTTAAGATCCCGTCAGACATATGTATGTAGTGAACGAACACTCAGGTGGGAAAACCGATTTATTATTTATTGTAAAACACAGAGTACTTTCACAAAATATGAAAACCACACATTAAATAAATAATTTGCACATCTTCCATTAGTTGCCCTTTACATGCTTCATGATTCTTTCGATTCCGTTGTTATTAAAATTACTTTCTGTTTTCGTAAATTGAATCTTCTCAATCTTCTACTGGGATGCTTTCCACTTTCGATTAGTGCTACATACTACTTATATCTATCAACATGAGTAGTATACACCACATCATAACTGGTTGCTTTTATTGAGTTTTTCCTTGATCTTAATTAATTTCTAAAATAAGGTGAAAGTTATACTGATATTTTCTAATGTTAAATAAATGCACAAATATAACAATCTCGGATTTTTACTTAAACGATGCTTTCCATAAAAATTTGGTTTGATTATTAATCTAACGCTGTAATTACTTTTACATTAAAATATAGGCTGTGAGGTGGATATTTTATTTTAGATTGCATAATTTCATCGTAGTAACCACACAAGACAAACGGATCTGTGGTTTTTATGTATATATTTAAGGCATCGAGTTGTATCTCTAATTTTTCTTCAAGAATAAAAATAATATAATGCATACTGATTTGTAGATGGGGGCTTTTACAAAACTTTTATTTACTTATGTACTTTTTTATGTGTGCACGAATGTTACAACTCTTACAACGTACTGTTCATTCAAATATCCGTAATAATTCTTTTTTTTTCAATTAGCCTTTCAACGCTACTCGATTTAACGTTTCTACCATTGATCAGCGTATGCATCAGTTGGAACAAGAAAGTGGTCATGGTTCCGGGTTAGCTGGATTTTTAGAGGAATTTGAAGAGTTGCATCAGGAAGCTCATGTAATTTTATTTTTTGTATCTTGAAATTTTACACCGATTGACTTACTATGTGCTTGTTCTGGGCTATCACAATAAATCATCAAATTTCCATAGGTTTCATAGAAAACAATGTGTAGGTTTTTGTTAATTTCGAAGGTTCATTTCTAAAGAGTCTTACAACAGGTTCATTTCCTGCAAGAATGCCCTACCAACATTTTAGATTGCATTTATAATCCTTTTCGATGAACAGTTACATATTATAACAACAGTTTTCGCGATTTTGAATTTTTACATTGTCCAGGTCAGAGATGTTTTTTCGAATGCCGTCTAACTTTACATTCAGTTATGTAATAGGGAATGGAATGCAATGTAATTTGATCTACTGTTCAAACTATTTGGTTGCCTTAATTATAGATTACTAACTATTTGTCGAATTTCGAAACACGGCAGAGCTGAACAACAACTTCTGAATATCTTTAGCGTTCTGGAAATTAATCATTATAACTGATATTTGTGTGAGAAAGGTCAAACAATAATTATAAAGTTGTGTCTAGATTGATTTGCCGTATTGTTTACACTAACGTTTTCTCAGCTGTATGCTGAGAAGTCGGAGTTTTATGAAGTACCAGCTAGTTTGAATTACTCCAGGTCAACATATTACTGAATTGCGATTTTTGGTCAGAGTAACTTGGAAGTAAGCCGTTGTCTTTAGTTACCTAAGACTTACTCCACTGAAATTCGACGAAAACATAACCCATTCAACATTCAGTATTTAAACTTCAATTCGCAACTGACATTTGTCAGATGCGTTTTAGCATCACTTTAGGTGATAATCCTGGAGATAATTGATGTTATTGTGGTCACTGATCTGAAAGAGAATAGTGAAATGCGTGAAGACACACGATCAGTTATTCTTCACAACGCTCGTTGTACAATATATGATGATGGAATAACAAAACGCAACCTCGGAACCCATTGGACACCATATTTTCGTTTGCAAGCAATAACTAACTTAGAGGTTTTCCATATTATGGGTTCAGACTGTGTCAATGAATAGAACGTTTAATGAGCATTACTCACTACATTTTTGTCTCACGAACTTCAAAGTTGTCGTGGTTATTGGATGTTTACTCTGTGGTTCGAAAAGATATTCCTAACGTATATTTTATGTCACGTCTGTTAGTATCCAAGTGAATATGCTCTAAACCGATCTTGAATACTATTATATTAACGTTTCTTTTCTGTTTTTCTATTTGAAGTCGATTATTTATCAAGGTTACAACACTGAATATAGCTCTGTGTTTGTTGGTTTGTCGTTGACGATGTTTACAATCTTTGCATCTTACACAAAGTATTTGTAGGTCTGTTGAAGTTCGGTATCCAGTCTGTCCTGTGGTGGCTTTTGGTTTCAGTTACAAATCATTACCTTTGTCTCCGTGTTTGTAAACAAGGTTGCTGATTTTGGTTTTGGAAAGTTTTACGATTCATGGATTGTGATTTTAATTTTGTTCTATATTTTAGGTGAAGAGTAATCCACGTGTTGAAGGCTATCAGTCTTACAACCGAGATAAAAACCGGTATAAACATATCCTTCCATTTGATTGGTCTCAAGTTAAACTTCTTGATGGTAATCCTGAAGAACCTGGTTCTGACTACATCAATGCAAATTATATTTGTTGGCCTGTAAGTTATCCGACTGTTTTGTCGTTAGTTAGTTTTCTTTCCTTTTTGTTACTTTTGATTACATTTTTTTCGTTTCCTCTTGACACCTATTTGTTCCAATCAAAACTTCTGACGAATTACTGTCTCTTGATCAGCAAATATAGCACTTTCTATTTTGTGTTCTTTCATCTCCGTTTGTGCAAAATATTGAATTCTCGTTACTAGTGTGGCAGATTTAATGGTTGATCACTAGAGCAAATTATTGGCCGAAACCTCTGATTAAAGTTTGATCAGAGACTAAATCAAAAGCATGACTTTACATCTAGTAAAGTTAAATGATCAGCTATCGAAATTGACCAGGGAATATGAATTTTGTTAATCACTTCCAATCATTTACATCTGGATTTTAGTCATTTTTATCCAGAATATCAGACATACTGTTTGGGATGTGACCTTACCTGTTTAAATGTCTCTATCTGAGATATGAAAGCTCTTGCAAAATTCTGTATTCTCTCTTATTCGTCTACCGTCGTCATCGTTGAAGTATCGATGCGCACTAGTCGTCAATCTACTTATTCCAGCTTGATTCACCACACTCTTACTTATGCTACCTCCCATTCGTCAATGTTTTGAAACCAATCAAACTACACAATCAGTTTAACGTAAGTTAGATGGGCACAAATGAGACCACACTATGGACTTCAGTCATCTAAAAATAGTCGCTTGCTTGATGATTTTTCAGTCTGTTTCTTTCATTTTGAAGTGAGATTCAGTTATTCCAACTGTTTCACTCTGTGATATCAACCGGGATTTATTGTTTATTTTTTATATGTGGCTAACTAAAAACATAGTAAGATGGTGGTTGTAGTAAATCGACGGGAAACCGTGGACCTAGGTTTCGTGCTATTTGGCACTCGTCAGCAAGATGTGCCTGTAATGTTGAGGCAAATGACACTCCCTGGCGGATTCGGTCCCGCGTCACTCAGCTTCACAGTCAGAGACGTTACATCTCAGTCGTACAGGTGGTCAGTCGCAGCTCAGATGTCCCAGTGTTAACGTCTCTGGCTGTGAAGCTGAGTGACGCGGGACCGAATCAGTCAGAGAGTATCAGTCCCCTCAAGATTACAGGTACACGTTGCTGACGAGTGCCAAATAGCACGTAGCCTAGGTCTAGGGTTTTCTGTTGACTAACTCCAACCACTAGCTTATCTCATTATAGTGCACGCAATGTTGAGTCACCCAGTGTCGTGGCCACATTGCAACTTGGTCGTCGATAGAATTCGATCTGCACTAAGAAGGACCTGACACACATGACATTGATCACCACTCAGTGGTCAATCAATTGTAAGTAAAACAGTATTCTTTGGATTAATGAGTTGTCTTTTTACATCAAACATTGATTCACCACTGATTTTGTGACAGTTTTCCCTGTTTTTTCAATCGTTACCACCTAAGGAGGCTGATTTCGAACATTTTTTTTTAGAATTATTGGTTATAATTTTTCCAGTTATTGATTTTCGATTTTTATACCAAACCTGTTGCAGGTCCATCTAACTGAATCTCTTTCTAATGGAAGTTCTTTCTGTTGTGTCAAATATCACCCAATTTCTTCAGTTTCTGATCAGAATAATAATCAACAATGTAATGCTTCTATCACTACCTCCAATTCTCCACACACTCCAAATAGTTCTGCTGCATTTTTTTTCAATGGGAAACCACGTTACATAGCCACCCAAGGGGCAGTTGCTAATTCACAAGATGCATTTTGGCGTATGATATGGCAAGAAAAAAGTGCCGTAATCGTTATGATCACGAAAATAATGGAACGTGGTAGGGTAGGTCATTTTTGCTAAATATCTGTTTTTTTCTCTCTAAGTGCCCTAAAATTACAAAAAAAGACAATCGTTTCATCTTAACCTTTTCTCAGTCATCATTTATATGGTTTGTGTGGGTTATCAAATGGAATTAGAAAAAAATTCCGAATTTTCATTATTCTTAAGAAAAATCAAGGATCTCGTGAACAATTTTCTGTATTCAACATTCATCTACTGCGATGATAGCCACATAAATTTATGGGTCTTCACAGTTTTTTATAGTTTTTTTATTGCATTGAGATCATTAAAAGTTTTGACGAAAGTATTGGAGACTAGTTACAAACTCAATGCATGCATAAAACACTATTTAAGATAGTCACTCTTTATTGTTATTCCACAGAGGACCAAATCTTGTTTTATCATGATTATCTTTACCAATCTATTGATTAAAATCAGTCTAGAGTGACCAACCATAATTAGGACTTTCCTTAAGTTTTAAGTAAAGTCATCACAATTATTTTATACGGTCCCTTAAATTCAGTATTGCTTCATGAGACATGTCACAGAAAAAGTAATGTCATGTTGTTAGTATCTAGCAACAATGTAATTCAAAAGAATTTTTGAAAGCTTATGTGACAAGATTCTTTCCTAAAATTATCTCTTGCTCATTAAAATACCTATCCATCGTCAACTAACTGTATACACATGACAATAATGTTTGATGAGTACTTCCCAAATGCTCAGGATGTTTTATATAGTCACACTAGTTAGTTTTGAATTTTTAAATGAAAATAACTTTATATGATTTGTTAAACTTGTATAGTCATAAATTTATGTATAAACTACCAAACTGATATTTAGAAACAAACGAATGTACATCGCATGTTTCGTTTCTTCGGCCGTCCAAATCGAGTCTTGATAAATTTCCCTCAATAATACATATGTTGTGTATAGAGATCCATTAATTGAGAAATAATTTTTATTTAGATGCCAAACAATTATCGATTGGCGCATAGTATTTAATAAATGAACGAAAATTCTTTGCCATGTATTATCTTTATTTCGATTACAGAATAAATGTATTCGTTATTGGCCAACTGCAGAAGAAGGCATACGAGAGTTTCCAAATTATGGTGGTACGATTCGTGTCCGACATTTGTCTGAAAGGAATTCTGTTAATTACACGCTACGTGAACTTTATATGACTAGAGATTCTTCTATATCAACAAAAAACACAGAACATCAGTTTCCTCATTTACCTGAATCTGTTACTGCCACTTCTACTTGTTCGAGTCCTACTATCTCTGACACACGATTTGATCAGAAGCATTGCAAATCAAGTAACACAAAATTGCATCAAACCGATACCACACTGTCAACCGTCAGTAGTCTTGAAAGTACATCTCGAGAAGTGAATTCAGGAAATGGACTTACTGTTTATCACTATCATTTCACTGTTTGGCCCGATCATGGAACTCCTAGTGATCCTTCGTGTGTACTCGATTTTATGCATGACATATCCGCTCGACAGGTAAGTGAAATACTTGTATCCACTTTATGGTTGTCCTTGAAAGTATACTTCCAAATGTCTTAAGACGAGTGTGAGTAGACTAAGATTTTATATTATCTCAGTTGCATTGGGTATTTCTCTGGTGTCTGATTAGTTAAATGAGTTTAGTTAAGTATTGGTTTATCTTTCTAATTTTTTATTAAATGGGTAATAATGAATACATTGAGTCAATCAAATATCAGTCCAAATGATAAATGCACGCGATTGAAATTTCTAAGGAACGAGACATGCGCCATTAGTGGCTTAATTTTCTAATGGTCAGACGTATATGTATAAAAACAAGTGTACATGCATTCCTGATTGGGTTTAGCTAATAAACATCCGTTCACACCTTTGTCTTTTCACTCGAGTAGCCCGCTGAGTTAGTGTGTAGAAATATTGCTTATCAGTATCGAAAGTGGAAACCGAACAATACAACAAAAACACGTTTTAGAGATATATTAGTATAACGAAAAATGTTTACTTTTGATAACTTCCAATCTGTGTTCAGCTGTCATTTCTTTGTAAACTGTTAGTGTATACATGAATATAGCACTGTAGGATTTCAGTGTCGTTTAGCAATATTTCTATGTTTAAATAGTGTTATCCTTCAACTTAAGAAACCTATTTCAGTTTTCTTTAGAAAAAGTCTAAATTTTTCTTTCTTTTTACGTTCTACGCGAGTCTTCCTATTAAATAGTTGGTTTTCACATCATCTTTTTTATTCTCTATAACTTTACGTTGGTAAGCAATACTGTCCGAAGCGTAAGTTGATTGCTGAGTTCCCAGAATCCAATTCTAAACAAGAAACGGGTCTGAACTATTCATCATAAAGGAAATGATTAACACTGATTACAAACTAATAACGTGTCATTATTTTTTACTGGATAACGTTTGTGAAGTTTTGTCTTACCTGACTTAAATAGAATAATTTCTTTCTATGTTTATACGACTGCCGAAATGAGTGTGTAACCAATCGAACGTTAGTATTTATAATGGATTTATTAAATGTTTGATTGCCCGAGGATTATTATTTTATGAATTATATCTGTTCCAATTAACCTTATATAGACCATAGAACAAAAAGTTGTTTGCCACTGGCTAACCAAATGCCTTTTTCAGTTTTGTTACCACTTTTGACCTTATTGACTTTCGTAGGCTACTTGATGGACAAGAATTTATGAAGTACGTAAAAATGCCCAGTCATATGGTTTAACATAACCTAGCTTCTCTCCCAATCTTTTTGTCGTCGTGTCAAAGAGTGCGTCGTCCATACAATGTGTTTCTAATTAGTCAGTCGATCAAGATTAAATCGTATTTGTCAGACTATAACTTAGACTTAATTGAAATCCAATATCACGCTCTAGCAACCCAATGAATAGAAATACTTACTTACATTATACCTAAGATGTATTGATTGTTTTCTTGTTTAACTCATTCTAAAAGAGAATGTCAACTTACTGAAATTTATTTGATACCTTTTTATTTTTCTTAAAATTGTTGTTTAACGTACGCATTTTTTTCAGAGATTTAGCTACATTGGAAACTAATCAGTCAGATGGTTGTTAGAGATGCAGCTAATTTGAGAGTAACTTATAATTTGAGAATCCCCGTCACAAATATCGACTTGGGAGTATTATAAGTCACATGACTACAGACACTTGTCTGTTTGTTTGCTTAAGGACTAGATATCGAAAAGAAGTGCGTCGATATAAAGTAGAATAAAATTCTTTACGATTCGAAAATAGTCAATCTTGTGCAGTCCATAAATTGCATCCCTTTTTCCTTTCAGTGGTCAATCATAGTCTGTATTATCTAAATAAATCAGTAACTTTTGTTTTTGATATATTCGAAATTATGTGGAAGCAGCTGTCGTATACCATTTTGTTTTCAGTAGCTCTGTAGCAAATGTTGGTCCGTGAACTATTTTCGTGTCTTTCCATGTAGTGATGTATTGTAAATGTTTCATTATTTGAAGTGGTATTTGCTTTTATTTTTATTCAGGATAGTATCCCAGGCGCTGGACCTATCGTTGTACACTGTAGTGCAGGTATTGGACGTACTGGAGCATTTATTGTAATCGATATGCTCATAAATTATATCAAAACAATGGGCCTTAATTGTGACATAGATATTTCCCGTACAATCCAAGCAGTTCGTGAACAACGTTCTGGGATGGTGCAAACTGAAACTCAGTATAGATTCATTTATAAAGCTGTTCAGCAATATGTAAATACAATGTCCAAGCGTATACAAATGGATAATGTGAGTTTTTTCATTTTCAATTAAAAATCGAAACATGTTAATACCATAGTTTACATACAGTGATCATTTCTCGAATTTTTCTCGATGGCAGTATGGATGAACATCCATGCACTCACTGTCAACTGTCTCACATATTTCTAAGAATTTTTTTGAAAATTTAATACTTCTAATTATTCATTTTACTAAATAAACCAAAAGAATATTTCCGCTATTTGATGAACACAGAAAAAACGTCTGTTATTATATTCTAGCACTAAATTTTCAGATAATTAAAACAACCCATTGTTTCATTGAATAAAAATAAACGGAATTCAGCGAAGAGAATTTTCTTTTCGACGAAATCATTTACTTAAGCTGCAACTTATATTCGTCCTTGTATTCTTCTCTTACTACTTGATTATTGCGTAACCTGATTTGATAATAAGTCTCTAATCTCTTTATGACGCAATCTTTTCTATCATTCTATAGACATATACATACCACACAACTATAAATACGAATGTACAGCTTAGTTAAATGATTTTGTCGAAAAAATTCTTCTCACTGAACACTCTTTGTTTTTATTCACTGGATTGCCAGTTTTATTTCCTAGTGAAAACCAATTTCTTAATAATAAACGCTGTCTTAAAAACCTTGTGATTATAAATATCTGTTACTTTGATTTCGAAATGCTCATAGGATCTTCGCCGTACTGGAAGAGACTACACTAATATCAATCGTGCTGCTGATGATATTGGTGTAATTGGAACATCAGCTGTCAATATATTTCCAACGGTTTGTTCATCATTGGGTTTCAACTCCCATGAACAACAAAGTGTGACATCAAACTTTATTCCTGGAGCAAGTATCAACACACCCTCAGTTACTGGATCTTCTGTGCCTGCTTCAAACAAGCAATGCAATTGTCCTATTCACTCTTGTTCTCAGCGACAATCAACATCAAACCATAATATATCTCAAGCTTCCATTTGTCCCACCAACTGTTCACAAACTGCTGTTTCATGCACAACATTGCCCTGCACTGCTCCAGTTGTGTCCGTTTCGCCTCGCAATGCGGATTCTGTAACTGGGGGCTTCTTCCATCGACTGACTGCACCAAGTCGTCCCCGTACGAAGTCATGACACTTTTTGAAGACATTTTATCCGATTAATTTAATGTGAGTTTTTGTTGGAATTTCATCAGGAAATATAATATTTATTTATTTTATATTGTGAAATGTATGAAACCATAAACTTTTAAAGAACTATCATTTCAACTGCCACACCACATGTTGTTAATTGTGTATTTATGTTCGTTTAGTGTCCCGCGATCTGATTCCATATGATCGAGTAATATTGATTCTAATGAAATTTATATCTTATATATATATATATATATATATATATATATATATATATATATATATATATATATATATATATATTAAGTCGACGTATCCTGTCGATAACAACATGGATATGAGAAGTCCATTACAAAGGTATTTGAGGAACATATATTCCAAGCATAATTTAGACAAGCGATAAGAGACGAGAAGAAATACACGTGAACTGAAGTGGGAAAAATAACCAGCTCTGTGAGTACTAGGTGACCTAGTCTTCGTGAACATGAACTCAACATAAGTATACAGATATATACACACTACCATACACACATGTACAAAACATGTTCAAGGTTAAATGTGAGTAATTGACCAGGTCTGACAAATAAAAAGATAAGAATGATTTATCTGCCCAAAAGTTGCAAAAAATCACGTAAACGTGTAATAACGTCGAATTGCCACAATCAATTTCCGGACATAACTCTTCTTGTCCTAATCTTCCAAGGGTTGACCTCCAAACAAAAGACTTTCATTAACGTAGAGTAAAAAGAGTACATATTTCTTAATGATCAAGGTGTCAATAAAGTGAAATTTTCTGAACGCTTCGAGTTATAGTTACGTCATAGTTACGTCTACTTTATGAGCCTCATCTGCTCAACATATCGAAATGGATGTTTCAATTGATTTTATTGAAAATATATTAAAGCTGTCTAATAAATAGATGACATATATTTGCAGAAACTTTCGATTCAAGCTATTAATTTTGCACATAAATTGTAAATCTTTGTGACTTGAGAAGTATTAGGAGTAGTTGATTTTATATATTAATGGTATTTTGTTTTCTAAAGAATTTATCAAACTTCACTTAAACTCTTGTCGTCCCTAGTTATCATTTGCAAATCAATAAATATTACAAGAGTTTCTTCCCATCTAAAGATATGTCAAGATATTGTATGTATTGCTTTAACTATTCATGGGATAATATATATATATATATTTGTTCAAACAAATTTTATTGTATAATAGCCAACGTTTTGTTTGCACTGTCTAATTTTACTATTTTATTCTCTGTTACTTTAGGTAAAGAAGCATTAGTGATATCTGAAATGTATGTAATTGTACTCATTTATTACATGTATGACTTTAAACAGATTTTGTTTATTTAGAAATCATCACAAAAAATTATTGGTTTTTTTTCCTTTATCACCGAATTATCAGTAGTAATCTTATTTGAATAATAAACCATTGAAATCTATATTTTGTTAAAATGCTGTATACAAAGATAGTATGAATATGTAAGTGGTATTATCAATACTGAGTTGTTTAATTTTGTGTTATTATTTACCAATTATGTTAGTTGGTTTTTAATTCTAATAGTGCTCCAAATGTTTGTTGAAATGAAAAATTAACTCTTATTATATACTTGCACAAATACTGTTTTCATTCAATGAAATAAATTTTATTATTATTATTATTATTTTTGACTTATCTTTTTTCTTCTTCTTCTTTTGAATAACAATTTTTGTGTAAAACTCTAAGTAAAACGTTGATAATTTACCTTTAAACGATACAGTTTACAATTTACTATAATGATGTAAATTCTCTTTTTTACTCTTGGTATATGAAAAGTGTTTTAGTCGTTCCTAGATTTAATTCCTTTTAAATAAAGTTTTTAAAAAAGAATGAAATTCGACTGTTTTTTTTTGAAAAATTATTTACATTTTTCACTTTATCATTCACGGGAAGGAATCCATTCATAATGTTTGTATCAGATTACACAGTTCTCGTATTAATGTTTTTTTGGATAATGTGATAATTATGTTTTACTTGTATTCTTATTATTTTTACTGTGTGAAATTATTGTTCACTCGATTTTAAAGAAAATTAATTAAATTTACGATTTATAATGCTAGTGTTTTTATTTAGTTAAACGGGTCGGTAGCTCCTGCAATTTTTAATTAAAAAAAGTTTCTTTTTAATGATTATATGAGTTAACAATCATGTATATCTTATCTGTTCAAAGATTGTGTCTCAAATCAGGAAATAAGTTGTTGCATAGCGTATATAATATTATGTCATAGTGAGAGTGGCATCTCATTTGGGGTAGAAGGGTCGGAGGGTTAGCAATTATCAAAGGAGATTTCATAGCATCATCAAGGCCCCCAAATGGCCTGGTATGGCCGAGAGTGGGAAGGGCCCGCCCTTCCTCTTGAAATGCTCTCACACGGCCATGCGTATACAGCCTGTGCCAGGGAAGTTTTACTCACTGCCTTCTTGTGGCCGGGGTGTTGTTCACGAAAATGAGAGGACGAAGAGCGCATGTCCGGCGCTTTAACTGGATTCCAAAACAATAGTGCACATGGGCTCCAGTACCCTGAGGGAATAAATGGTGTATGAACCAATTGTTGGTCACCAGCTACCATGGGACTGCATCTCCTCACAATGCTCCACTGCCTTGTGGTTCAGGTCAAAGGCTCGGGGAGTGGCCCCCCAAAAAATCACATGCTTCGGTTTGGGCACCCGAGCAGTATCACAGCCCGCACACAAATAAAATGAAAATGACGATGTTTACTGAAAATTCGATTAACAGTCAAACAAGTCACATTATTATTTTTAGTTATCAAGTCACTTACCCCCACTTTGGAAAGTGTGGCGCATATATATTTGGTGCCCCCTTGTACCAATATTTATGTGTTCAAATAAATAAATACAAGACGTTCTTGAAAGCAGGCGATAAAACACATGCATAGACTGTTTGATGTAAAGAGATAGCTCGCTGATCCAAAGACTACGATTTTAGTTAGCCACATATAAAAAATAAACAATAAATCCCGGTTGATATCACAGAGTGAAACAGTTGGAATAACTGAATCTCACTTCAAAATGAAAGAAACAGACTGACAAATCATCAAGCAAGCGACTATTTTTAGATGACTGAAGTCCATAGTGTGGTCTCATTTGTGCCCATCTAACTTACGTTAAACTGATTGACATGTACCTAATGTTATGATGATTTTTGTAGTTTGATTGGTTTCAAAGCAATGACGAATGGGAAGTAGCATAAGTAAGAGTGTGGTGAATCAAGCTGAAATAAGTAGATTGACGAGTAGTGCACATCGATACTTCAACGATGACGACGGTAGACGAATAAGAGAGAATACGGAAATTTTCAAGTGAGATTTTATGTCTTTCGACGTTAAGATTTACAAATGGTTTTTGATTAGTCTCTCTTTAGTACCAAAGTCACTTGACTATTCGGCTGAAACTGTTATCGTTTCCTATTGTGCAAAATGATTAGTCAACTAGTCAAAGATCATTAACACATATCCGCTTTCTGTGTTATTTTCATTATCTATAACATAAGATTTAAATATTACTGTTCAGCAATGGCTTTCTACACTGTTGTTGTTTTCTGTTCGGAAACTTACATAACTTAGATACATTGCAAACCATGTCAGCTGACAATACACTAAAATACTAACAATGCTGCTCCAAGTATTTATCTGGAATGAAAGCAATGTTCATACATGTTATAGTAGTTGAACTCAAGTACTTTTTTGTTTCATGTCCAAGTAAGTATTTAGAAAGTGACATAGGACATTAATCGTATCTTGCTATTGACAACATCCGTTAACCATCTCTCTGAAAATCTGCTCTTTCCTGGACTATGAGATAAATATATCAAAAAAGTAAAACAGAAAATAAAGTTTGAAAACAGCAGTGTTGTAAATATAGGGATATAATTAAGTTTTCATTGTAAACGATGTTTCCATGCTCATTAGGAGCCAGATATGTACAATATTTTGAAATTAAAGCCCACTTCACCAAATGGTAAACTCAGAATGGAAATAAATGCTTTTTCCAAATCCTAGGACAATTACTTGTCAAATTCGTGCTAGTAACTTATAGGGCATATCTGAAGTATTTGTTAGCGAAGGAGTTTTACTTCAAAGGAAAATTAATTTAGCAACATGTACAGATTTTTATAACAATATAAGTTAATCACTCTCCCAGTATCTAGAGTTTCCTTAAGAATCTACACATTAGTGTGATCATGTTAGGTATTTTTATTAATTAGAAACAGACTTATAGGATGTGTTTCGATTATGGTCAGTGTTATGATGTTGGTCAATATGGTACAAATATATTTATTTTAAACTTTTATTAATGCTACTAAAGTATTACCAGTCTTCAGCTAAAATACTAGTGGTATTTAACGTCAGTGAAAAACAAGTTATTCTCCCTTGTTTACTGATATGACATTAAATAATGTGAAAAGTCAAAAATTTCCAATAAAAATTATCATCTTTTTGTCATACCCTATGTTGTTTGATTTTAGTTAATTATTTATTATTTCACTGGTTAAGATCATGATTCAGTTGAAGCTAGACCACCATAGAAAACCTGGAAGCACTGAACGGCGGTTTCGTCCTATTATTAAAATAATATCCATTGCATTAGCAAGACTAACTTACATTTGTATTGAGCGGAATGTTTCGACTTGATAATAGACAAGTATAGCTGAATTCTGTAAATTTTTTAAACAAATTGATTTTAAAATGAAAAGAATTATAAGTTTAATTATAAACATGTCAGATTATGTCTGGGATAATTTTTCCTGTAAAACTCACTATCAACTACAAATTAGAACGAAATTCTACTGAAGCTTGATTCTTCTACATTTTGACCAGATAAATAAATACACTTACGTGAATTTACTTGTGAGCTGTGTTGGTGATGTATACTAAGTATTCCATTGGAAAGACCTGAAGGTTGTAGTTTTGATTCTTCTTTAGGTCATAGTTCCCTAGCATTGAGAAGGCCCACACTAGGACGAAGTAACTGTGCAGTAGTAGCTGGTTTTCATTGATTTTCTAACCAAAGTCAGTCCGCAATAAAAAAAACTTCGAAAACAGTCTTGTTGGGTTTAATTAATTCTTTATTAATGGGAGTTTACTATTTTTACAGACTGGTCAATTATTCATGTCCAATGTGGAATCTCGTATATGCTTCATTACAAGTTGCCACACTACAACACACCAAGATATCAGTGTAGTGTAAGTAGCAACAGTGATAGAGTTCATAGAAAAGCTTGAGTATAGAAGATACGGTTCATACGGCAAATATGGTCTTTTGGAATAGAGAATAAAGTAAGGCAACTTGGAAAACTAAGTGTGAGTGTACCTTTACAGCTCAGAGATATGTCATCCAACTTTTAACCGTTTGTTACGATAAACGAGCTAACCTCAACTAAGTATATTTAAACTACCAAAAAGATCAGTTAAACGTTGGTGACATCAAGATATTCTTTTCCGTTGTTATTTTTAATTAACTTATGAATCAACTCAATCTTTTTCACAACGTACTTATTGGTATACGTAATATGATTCAGATTATACTATTTGAATTACTAACCGTTAATCTTACATAGAGTTATACTCATAATTTATGCTTATAAGAGACAAATAATCAGAAAATGAGGTTTCATGATATCATCGTTTTTTGATAGTATCTGGAGTTCTGGATGATAATTATGACTTCTCAGTACCTAATCAAAAGGATAGCTACTTCAGGTGTACAGTCAATATTTTGAAGTCAGCTTTTGATCCTGTTGTTCTCAGTTACTATTATATACGGAAGTGATTGCAAAATATAACGGTTTCATAAAACATCACGAATATTGGTTTCTGTACAAATATCCTTATTGAATATCAGTTTCAAGTTGTTTATTTTTTTCAATTACTAGAATAAGATAAACTTAATTTTTGTCATCAATAGGTAGGTGAGTATTATAAACGAAAATATAAATTCATTGTATTGAGTGTTAACAATAACTAATGTCTTTTTTTAAAAATGGCGGAACATTAAAACTCATAAAAACGTTTAGAAGTAACAAATCATTATGGCATAAAAACCATCCAATCTCACAGATGGGTTTGTTACATCAACTTTTTCTCACTGTTTTAATGTGGGAAATATTGAGGAAACAGGTACGTTTATCTAGAAATAAAATAAACTATTAAAATATTATTTGGGAATCCGGAAGTGTTTTACTCCACGTGAATATTCATAATGTTCAACATTTACGCTATATATATATATACTCATCTGCTTACCTTTGGCTTTATCCGAGATATTCGTAGCGTGAAGTAAACCGATACCGTAGATTTTGGTATGGGTGAACGCCTAGATGGTAGACTAAATTTCACTCGATATTTATGAAGCGTTTCATTCTTTAGTTCCACGATTGGCAAAATATCAACGCAGTAAAGCCACTTATCACTTATTTCCCAACACTGAAAGTACAAATGCGAACAATTGTTTAGAAAGTTGCAATTTTTATAACAAAATAGACAGGTGTTCTAGAGACATTTTGACCATTTAAGACTGCAATCTTGTAAGCGGTGTTTCTCAAACCTAGTTTGTTTCATAACTGAAACCATCAGCTTATAACTATCATGGTACTTCGCACTTTGTAAAATGGAACAAGGCAATTGTAATAGAAATTCAGCTTCAGTCACGATATATCCCCTTCATTAAATAATGTAGTGTCCAGTCATTATTGGAGTAATTTATTCTAAACCCAAACGTATATGACAATCTAAGACTTTTTAACTTACCCTTTATCAAGGTTGGATTCGAAAAAGAAACATGAATTTATGATACATCATTGCAATAGTTCTAATAATTGGTCCTCTTTAACTAACATAATAACACTCTTGATTGCATATATGATTTTGCAGATAGTGAAATCATATGCACATCCTTTGTTTCAAAATGTTTCAATGAATAAATAATATATAGTCAATTTAGACTCGTTATCTCCATCTTGTAAATTAACAAAAATACTATAGAAGTCATTACAATCTGAATGATATTCCTCATGTTCGAAGCATTCAGTACTTCTAAATATTGTATATAAACACAAAACCTCCCACAGATATAACCGTGGCGATTTAGATTTAAAATTATCACCTTATCTTTGATTTCTAACAAATATATTACTCAATCATTACCTTTACATATTTCTCAATTTTTTCCAGTCCTAATTTGGGTGTAAATTCTTCAATAGTAGGCCATTGTATATTAGGAATTGGTAAAGGTTTATCTGATAAGATAATTTCATCAGTGATTTTATATGAACTTTCATTGGGATATAATTTTTCCAAATCATAGTAATTATAATCCGTTGGGTTGATTTCATATGGACTTTCAGAATTCTCAGGGTTCATACTTTTACATTATTTAAAGATGATAAAATATATTAAATGGTATTATAAATAATTGTGATTTTAAAAAAAACTTTGTTTTTTTGTTTTTCAATCTGTACAATAAAACATACCTTTTTTGTTTCTTGAGTGATTCAAGCTTAAAATTAAATGAACAGAAAGTATATAATCAAAAACTTCACTGATTGAAATCATGAGTCAATTGAAGCTAGACCACCATGGAAAACATGGAAGCACTGGACGGCATTTTTGTCCTAGCATGGGACTCCTCAGCAGTTCGCGGGGTGCGGGATCGTGGATGCGCACTGCTAAGGAGTCCCATGCTAGGACAAAAATGCCGTCCAGTGCTTCCATGTTTTCCATGGTGGTCTAGCTTCAATTGACTCATGATTTCAATCAGTGAAATTTCTAAAATTTCTCCAAAACCCCTTCTGATAATCAAAAACTTAAAGAATATTTATCTGAAGCCATGTTTTGCTCATTCAAAAGTCGAACACTAACAGTTGCATTCGAACTCACACAGTAAGGAATTGTCTTCTGGACGTTTTTTTATAATCATCACAAGTGTAAATAACTATTTTATTTATTGAATATAGTGTAGGCGTAAACTTTTTACATTTATTGACATCATTAATCATATTTGAATTTTGTATTCAACACTTTGAACGATAAATTTATGATAATCATCTTTTAGTCACTAATTTTTTAGGACTTTCGATTTCCATTTTTGAATTAAATTTTAGGAAAGATAATTCTTTCCTGGAGTATGAATCCGTTATAGCTCATTTTTGAAGCATCCAGTGATAGATTTAAAGCATCTCAGGAACCATGTACTTTGATCTTATCAATCATTAGCAGAGCTGAATTTCCAAAGAAAGGGTAATTTGACCAAGAAAATTTTCTGTGCGTCTACGTCACTTACTAAAGCTAATAAGTAGTATGTATGGTAACTTACTACTTAGAGATATTCTTCACAGGATTACACGAATGAGGTCAAGTTAGAATACAAATCTAAACCATGTCGAATTCAGAGTGTATAGCAATTCAGCTATTCAATCGTGAACTCTATATGTAAAACGTGTATATTCAGCCTGTCTTTCTACTATGCATTTAATTTGGTGCTAATTTTTAATGCTTAACATACAGCGGTTGTCATCACTTTCAAGTATTTCTTTTCTCCTTCGTGTATTTTTTCATGTTTATCAAGTGAACAGATACCGCTCATGATTCTCATCTTTCAGATATTTTCAATACACTAATTTTTATTAACTTTAAGTACATTATACAACTTTCATTTGATATTTCAAACTATTAATTGCCCAAATTATATATTTGTAGTAACTAGATAAATTCGGAATAATTATATCCTATATGTTTGCCTTTCATTTTGATAAATCTTATTTCGACATTTAGTTCTCTACATTTGAATACAGAAATCCTTTCAAATAGATAGATACCTTATTTAGAATTAAACTGTTGTCCAATACACGTAAAGTTTTATTGAGAAAGATCAGTAATTTATTCATATAACTCTGAGTGGAATGAATCTAAATAGTTTGCATTAATTTAAGTGCAAAAAACGGTAATATACAGATTCATTTGACTTGTATGTTACTTTCAGTTATCAGTTTATATGTATTATACGTGGGAATTTGTCACAATTTTTGTGATTAACTTGATCGAAACTAAGTAAAATATGCTACTAACTTGTTCAGAATTAACTCACATAATTTATTGAGGAGTTTATGAATACCCGAGAAATTGCTAAATTTTTATTGAATCCGTAGAAAAAGAGTACTTTATGTAATTAAATGAATATTCAACTTCATGAATAATTAGATGACGGTAAATTTAGGTAGTTTTTCTCTCTTTTTCTTCCTATTATATCAGGTCAGCTGATAAGATATACAAGGTGGGTTCGAAAGCCGAGATACCCATAGCATACTGATTTTCACATCAAGTCACTGACTCTTAGAAACTAGTACTCGAAGAAGTGATTTCCATACCTTCAGTTGACTCATTTAAGAGAAAACTACTCATTCATAGAGGCTTACTAAGAAAGAACTTAAAAAGACAATTGGTTTTCTGTCGGCCGTATGAAAATCTGAATATTATAATCCACTTGTTCCATATTTCATCAAACTATTCAAAAAAAGAATTTATTCAAAGGACAAAATATGTAAATAGAAAATCCGGATTACTTACCTTAGTTTATTAAGTAGATCTTTTTCATAGACACGATATAATGATGACTGTATTATTGATGTTATTAGATTACGTATCATTTCTGGAGACTCATCTGATTTCCCTTGACTAAAATGTTTGTAGGAATGTTAAAAAGGATACTCAAAATCATATCTAAGTTCCTAAAAACTCAAATATATTGTAGGAATCATTGGAAACTCCGAATACATGTTAACATCATTTAAGAAAGTTTATATAAGTTTATATAAATTCAAAATATTGAATCTTTGTCGTTCATTTTTAGCATGTGGTGGAAGTCAAATATTATTTTTTTATTATCACAAACGTTTTCCAAAATTTTTTTGTGTAGTAACAGTGATTTTCTTTAAAACCTTTATTGAAATCATGAACTGATCTAATCGAGAACATCACTGAAACCTTAGAAGCAATGGACAGCCATTCCATCCTAGTATGAGACTTTTCAGAAGTACGCATCCATAGCTGTCCAGTGCTTTCAGGTCTTCGATGGCGGTCTCAATTAGATCGGTCCAATAAAACTCAAAAATCCTTACTACCTCATGCTGGTAGTTGTCTTTTTCTCACTAGTGACTGGTTTTGAGAGAAAATGCTCAAAGTTCTAGTGAGAAGCCGTAACTAGTAGGACTAATCGGTGTCAGGCGTAAGACAGTTACCCACCGAAGATAATAAAAGGTAGTTATGCAATATCGTGGAATAATTAGAGTTAGACAATAACACCGGTGAATACCGACTCAGTGGTCTAAAGACTAAACATTCACGTGCGAGACCGAAGGTTCTAGGTTTTATTCCCGGTTGCGTGGTCGTGGATAAGCACTTCTGAGGAGTCCCGTGCTAGGAAGAAACGGCTTTTCAGTGCTTCCAAGTTTTCATTGGTGATCTAACATCAATCGGTTCGTAATTTCAACCAAACTCAACAATTTCTACAACCCTGTACTGTAAAAGCTTTAAATCATTGTTGTGATATATTTCCCATTTCTACGTGTTGCGCATCATTGGCAAACAAAAGTAACTACATTTTAAACCAAATATGTCTATTTGTATAAAAGCTTCAATGTAAGTACTCGCAACTATGTATCTGAAACTAAATTACAGTAATTGGCATTATTTGACATTATGATAGACTTGAAAATAATCAGAAATGAAAACATAAATAAAAACAAACAAACTTACCCTATTGTTGCACCATGCTGTTGAGTATTTTCAGAATTTCCATGATTTATGTCAACTTTCGATGAATCACTGTTTAAGTTTTGTACATAGTCGATAGATCTCTGAATAATTGAATCCACTATTGATATTATCGTTTCCATGTATTCACTTGAATTTTCATTGGTATTTTTCATTATTGGTTTTATATGTGCATCCTTAATTATAAAAAATTATTCTCTACAAGACTGTAATCTTCATAGAATCATAAACACATTGTCATTCGTTTGGAAAAAAGGGGTTTAATTTTATTCAACCAGTGGATAATATACAAAGTATATAACAGTATACTGTAAACTCAATCATGTGTCATCACTTGTCAGTCAACAAACATTCAACTTTTTACCTACGAAAAGATTAACAAGAGTAAAAATAAACCATCTTTTATTTGATTAATTTATTTTTCAACATAATATTACAAGTCATTTGTGTTGCTATCTAGTTAAAGGTCATTGCGAAACAGGATTGATAATACTCTTATAATAAGTAAGGTTTTCTAATAAATTTTCATGTAATTTTAACAGTTAAAATAAGGCAATACAACCAACTGTTAATTGACTGATTATTCATTATTTTTTTCCCGCAATTTTCCATCTTCACTTAGTTGACCCTTCTTTTTTGAAACCTGAAAATATTGTAAGTATTTTAATTACCCCATTTATAATTAATAATAATTCACATTTTACGAATATTATAGAGTTTTACAAAACGTAATGGGAAAAACTGAAACATGATCCATAAATTTTAAAAACATAGTTCTTTATTAAAGTCTACAAAAACAAGACCTATAGTAATTTTCGTTTAAGTTTTAATGAATAAGTTTGTAGCACATTCATTTTTCAACGATCAATATATATATATATATATATATATATATATATATATATATATATATATATATATATATATATAGTACCAAGCATTTTTGGACATTTTACATTTACTTAGTGCGTTAACGCTGCATTTAAGAGCATTATTTTCACAGATAATTTTATTTCTAGCTCCAATGTTTACAATATTTGTTGCCTATATCCAACAAGTTAATATGCGCTATAATGGGATGTTCATAAAGAACATAAGTAGATCGATTAAGATGATTGAAATGAAGTGCCAAGTGATAATTATGTTCTTATTTGTAATACTCACATAATAAATAAATAGGAAAATAGTCGAAAATACTAGATACCTGACTTTTCTCAAACATTAAAAAAGTAAGTGATAACCTCACAAAAATAAATTATATATATATATATATAATTCCGAATTTTCACTAGTCAAACTGGTCTGAGCTTTTTTTGTGGAGATGCTCGAAGTTATTTTTAATTCGAATTGCTGAAATTTTTTACAAATATAGTTCTTCGTATGAATAAATTAGTTGAAGTTTTAATTTTTGAAGTATGCAGCATATAACAGTGAAACCAAATGAATATTTGCTTTCTAAGTAGGAAATAACTAAATTCAGAAATAACAACTGTAAAGATTATGATAATATTTGTTATGTGTTAAAGGGAGATTTCACATTTTCAGTGATAAATATGTAACTAATATCACATAGTTTACTCAATTGTTTTTTACACATATATTTGGAGTCATAGGCACTTACCTTAATAAGTCTGAAATTTTTATTTATTAAAAATTTGTTCAGTCTGTTTCCATATCCATATCTTGGACATAATGGTAACCAATACTTGAGTATTACAAATAATCTAATATACATTGTCCTTTACCGTTACTTTTTTCTTAAGTTTTCCGTTTTCATTTTGTTGTTTCATGACTGTAACATTGTTTTTATGCTAATAAAACTGTATATAACATTCGGATATTTTTCGAACCCTTTTTTAACAAATTTTCTCATAGTATATTATGCAATCTATCAATTCTATAATTCAATGTATCATTTCATTCATTTATTAAATGATACTTTCGAATATTATTCACTTTATCTATTCAATCTTTCAATTACTTAATCAATCGTTTGCAATTATTTTTGTGATAATGTTCGAATTCGTAATATTATTATGTAACACATTACCACAGATATAGGTTCGACTTCATTATTATTTTCATTCAATTCACGAATCGATCAAATCGAAAAGGACATTGGAAACCTGGAGGTACTGGGCTGCCTTTACGTCCTATTATTATTATTATTATTATTATTATTATTATTATTATCTCTTTGTTCCTTCCATCTTTTTTTAAAATAAATGCTCGGAAGCAGTTTGGTAGATCATTTGATTGAAACAAACTTTCAACTGTAAATGATTATTAACAACGTGTTTGTTTCATTTAACTCATATCCATGTTAGAAAAAACGTCATTAGCGTAAAATATGGCGTAAACAAGTGTGTAGATTTCCACTATCAAACATGAAATCAGTAAATTTCAAAAACACTACCAAAAAGAAAAGTGAAAGAATGCTCATAGTACTAGGAAAGCTAAAAATTAGAACAAAGATCAAACAACATAACTAAAGAGATCATTTTCGATTGTTACTGTCTCAAACTACGTATCACAGCTTTTTCACAAGCCTCAACAAGAATCCTGCTTAAGATGGGTAGTCAAATTTAAATTATATTTCATCACTGTAACAAACACGTGCTTACTAAAGACTAGTTTAGCGAAGAAATGGTGAAATTCTAGTGAGAAGCCATGATAAACATAGTTCAGTCATGTGTTTAATGAAAAATATATATAGCTGATTCCGCAGATAGATGGTCGTCAGTCGACTGAAGCAGAGAATTTTAACCATCAAGTACGAGTTCTGCAACATAGCAGTGCCATACTCATCATGAAATCTTAACGTTCTGAGTTTGATTCATTAGGAAGCTTTCCATGGGGATTGCTGAAGAGTCCGAAATTATTAACCAGTGCTAATCAAGCTAAACTTAAAAATATTATTTATTTTTAATGCACTTAAAACCTCTAACTTGACGCTAATTTTCTTCTGCCTCTAAGTCTTTATTTGAATACATTTACATACCGAACAAATCACTTGTCATGAAACAGGAAAAATATTAATGTCAAACGTTCATATATTTAAAGAACTGAAGTTTCTGAAGTAAATCAATAGATAGTAGTTGTTATTAAACCCAAATATCTTTTAACAAAGATCACATTATAGGCAAAGATGGATAGTGGCTAGCAGTGGAATCCAGGACGCGCGTTTCGTCCTGTTTGGGACTCGTTAGCTGGATGTACCTGCATCTCAGAGTTGATGTTCACTCTAGGACTCAAACTCAGTACCGTTCGCTTCAAACGCCATCGCGTTATCCATTTAGTTACTGAGTCCTGATAGCCACTTGCTTGTGCAATGGGGTGAAGTTTAATTTACTTGATATTGTTTTACTTGAATCTTCCCATTGATGTTTTATGACTGAAATTGATCAGTCTCTCATTGGCAATGGGAAGATTCAAGTAAAACAATGTCAAGTGAATTAAAGATCATATTGTTTTTGTAAATTTTTGAGTATTGACTTTATGTTTTTTTTCTAGTAACACCCATTCATTTTTATATTTTCCCATAAAAATGTTCTCGTTTCAGGATTTGTGTGTTTGTAATATCTTTATAGCTGCCTGGAGTACGTGACTGTGTTTGAGTGAAAAAATAGATATTATCAAGTAAACAATAAAAATGAATCCTGAAACACTGATCATGTTTTATGTGGCAAAAGTATTCTTCAGTAATACAGAGATTTGAAGTTTAGATCACATTCTTTGGTCACTAATTAATCATTATTAAATGATCCATAAAATGTAACAGTGAAATAGAGTAATATAAAATATAATTATTACAACAGAGTGTATAAAGCAATTATTTTAAATGAATTAGTTCAGACAGTGTTGTGTTCTCAAATTTAGTCAAGATTTATGTATTCAAAACAAATCAATTAAACTCTTAATATTTCTCAGATTTCAGAATATAGAATAAGTTGACTGTTAAGTCTTACTAGAGATTTCAAACGGATACTTTTATCAGTAACCTGTACTCAATTCCGTGGATGTTCTATCATATATTCAGTCAGTCAGCTACAACGTAGGACCAGGCACATATGTCTAACTTGACATTTTCTTAGTAAATATATATAACTTGTTAAAAATAATCAGTCAACTGTGATTAATCTAAGGGGAAATATGTGAATTCCAAAACTATAGGTCATTAATCTTATGTTTGAACATTAATTTAATCAAACAGTTATTCAAACATAAAAAAATATTTAGGAAAATGTAATCCGGTGTACTATATTTACGAAAACCAATTGGCTGGTTATTTATATAAACATTCATTAAATACACATTAGAATAAACATACTGATTTTTGATGATACATAGTAAATTTTGATATGTTAGTCATGTATTTAAGAGTATTCGCCCAATCATGTTCCCAATTCTCTCGATTATATAAGTTTTTTGAATTCTTCAGCCTTTTAAGAATTTCTTTATTTTCTTGAGTTACTCGCTTGACTTCTTTCAGTCTTTGTTCTTCATTTAAGCTAAAATGATCCAATTGAGAAAGAAACAGTTAAACAATAAAATAATAATTTGTACTGTTTGTATTACTATAAATAGATGTATATGTTTAATTGGAATATTATATAAAATATATTAACCTTTTTTCTATATACTGATCATTTTCATTGCCCATAATACCATGTTTCTGAATTTCATGCATCCTCTTCAAAAGACGGTTATTTTCTTCTGTTATTCTTTTGAAATTTTCTTTTTCAATCTAGTCATCAATATTTATTTATTTAATTGTAATTGAATTATTGATTTCAATTTAGAAAGTAATTTGATAATTAATTTAATTGTTTAATATTTATCGTTAACTACTTATTAAACTACTTACTCTGTCTTTTTTAGAATTTAAATGAATAATCTGAAATGTTTTTGGTGCAGTTGTATCCACTGTCGATTTCATTTTAGCTAACTGAACTCAAATCATATTGAAAGAATCAATAACAATAAAAAAATATCAACCATAGGATTGACAACAAAAAAAAGTTATGCAATGACAATATACACAACATTCAATATAAGATAATAGAAAATGTTAAATTTTTTTCCTTATTCTATTATCATAAATTTATTGTAAAGTTAGGTTTTTAAACATTGTAAGTTGAATATTTTATGTTAGACACTAACACCATTAGATGCCGGCTCAGTGGTCTAATGGTTAAGTGCTCAGGCGCGAAG